CCTGCGGGCTCAGGCAATCCACTCACCTCAGTCTCCCAAAGGTACGGGATTACGGGGTGAGCCACTGAGCCCGGCTCCAAAATTCTTTATAATAACTTTACTACAATATAGGCTTTGTGTTAGATAGCTTTGCCCAACTGTAGGCTAATGTAAGTGTTCTGGGGACATTTAAGGTAGTGTGAATGAAGTTATAATGTTCAGAAGATCAGTATATTAAATGAATTTCTGATGTGATATTTTCAGTTCATGATAGGTTTATCAGAACATAAACCTATTGTATAAGTAGACAAGTATCTGTGCAACATTGTCAGGCCCATAATTTTTCTGATTATTAGGAGGTACGGGGTACCATGGTTAGGGGCAGAGGCTGTGGAGTCGAACTGTATGGGCTCAGATGCCACTTCTGCTGTTTTCTGTGTGGCTGAGGTACTAATTCAGTTCTATCACAGACTTCAGTGCTCTTGGGTGAGCTACAGAAGCTCTCTAGATATAACTTCCTCATTGCAAAATATCCCAAGCTAAATTTAGTATTCTCTTTGCACCTTGGCCTGCTTCTGTTCCTCTTGGGCTTCCCTATCTCAGTAAGTGGCTCCTCAGTCACCCTGAAGGATAAGCCAAGTTCGTCCCTCACAGCTAATCTATCTCCTAAACACATCCTAAATCCATCCCCACTGTCACCCCTCCAGTGCAGGCCATCAAGTCTTCTCATCTGCACTTTGCCATAGAGCTGCTTTTATAAAATACAAATTAGATTAAGTAATCCCCGGCTTAAAAGTCTTCAAATGGTTTCCTTTGCTCTTGGAATAAAGTTGGAAAAGACTAATGAGGACTTTGAGTCCTGCATGGTTTGGCTCTGGTCTGTCCCTCTCCATTCAATTTAGGTCATCCTGGTGCTCCAGACAGACTAGCCTTTTGTTCTTCCAGTTAGAAGAGGTCCAGGGCCTTTGTACAACTGTTCCCTTTACCTGGAATCCTCTTCCCCGATTGTCTTGGCTTAATTGCTCATTCTTCAGGTCTAGGCCCAAGTGTCAGTCCTTCAGGGAAGTATTTCCTGATCTTCCAAAGCAGGTCAGGTCCCGGTTACCACCCTCACCGCACCTGTCATGACATCATTTGTGCATGTCCGCCTCCCACTTCTCAGGTAGACTTTTTCATTCTGCTGTTTACCATGAGCTTTGCAAGGGGTCATGACAGAGTGGTTTGCTTCCTTCTGACTGTCTGTACCTAAAGGACAGTGTCTGTCTCCCATCTCTGTGCTT